AGAAATAAGATACAATTCCATTGCTATTCCGTTGTACATATTCAATACTCGTCTTGAGACATACACAACTAGTCAAACTCACAATCAAACGTGAACGTGTATTCCTGTGCGTTAAACTATTATTTTTTCATGACTCAGGACATTTCATTATGAAATTTCAATGAGTTTAAACACATTATGTTCAGCAAAAAGTCAAAAGTAAATGGCATATTTTTCAAATACAATTCATCCATTCATTCACTGTACTGCTAAAAAATCAACTGGCTATATTACATGTGCGTATTTACCATGCATGATCAAGTATTCTTGTGTTCTTGTGTTTAACCAATGTCAAGAGAGGATTAAAAAATAAAGTCTCTACCAAAGTCATAATCACGATATATGTGTAAACTGAACATACTTTTACTTACGTCTAGTGGTCTCAACGGTGCGGTTCGGTTCGGTTCTTGGAAGAACCGGTTTAGAACCGAGAACCAGAATTGAAGAACCGAAACAGAACCGAACTTTTTTAGTTGGAACCGAACCGGAACCGGACCAAACCGTGACCGAACCGGCGGTTCGGGTCAAACCGGTAGTGTTATTAATATGCAATAAACAACAAACAATGCTAATTGACGTGTTTCTGATGAAATTTCACATATAAGCCAATAACTTATCTGTATTTAAACAAGCAAATTCTAATACATGTCAACAGCAAAACCACTTATGTATATATTATTGAAGTTAGAAAACAATTCCAAGTTTGGGGTGCAACCAAGTCAAAATTTCATTTTGGAAACATTAGGGGTGTAACCAAGTCAAAATTTCATTTTGGAAACATTTGGGGTGTGACCAAGTAAAAATTTCATTTTGGAAACATTTGGGGTGTGACCAAGTAAAAATTTCATTTTGGAAACATTGGGGGTGTAACCAAGTCAAAATTTCATTTTGGAAACTTTGGGGTGTGACCAAGTAAAGATTTCATTTTAGAAACTTTTGGGGGTGAAAATTTCATTTTGGAAACTTTGGAGGTGTCATCAAGTCAAAATTTGGTTTTGGAAACATTGGGGATGTAACCAGGTCAAAATTTCGTTTTGGAAACATTGGGGGTGTGACCAAATAAAAGTTTCATTTTGGGAACTTTGGCAGTGGGGCCACGTCAAAATTTCATTTTGGAAACTATGTGTATTTCGGGAAATTCGTAAAACTTTTTCGAAAATATGATTAACTTCGCTAATGTATTTATGTATGAAGTTCGGTTCAACCCGAACCGGCCGGTTCGGTTCGGTTGTCAAAGACTTGGAACCGGAACCGAACCGGTAATAAAAGTTTCGGTTCGGTTCGGTTCTCCGTATAAACCGGAACCGAACCGAGCCATCGGTTCCGGTTCGGTTCTATGAGAACCGAGAACCGTTGAGACCACTACTTACGTCGTTCTCATTACTCATTATACACATATGTAATAGTAAGTATTTTGCATTATGAAGTTCTTACATAGGGATCATCCATAAATTATGTCACGCAAAAATCGGGATTTTCTAGACCCCTCCCCTTCCCCCCTTTAACATGTGTCACATAGGCACGATTTCATTGGGGCCTTGGACCCCTCCCTCCTCTCGCGTGACATAATTTATGAACGGTCCCTTAAGCAGACATATTATATACAACTCTGTGCACATATCTGATTATTTTAATTAACGCATAGAAAACTATTTGCATGTGACCAGCATACCTGTTCACTTTCATTCATTTGAGTGATTATGATAGAGAATGATAGTGAATGAAAACGAATTTCCTGTGATTTAAATGAAAATGAGTGAAAGATTCAGTCGTTTCAGATGAGAGTGACTGTGAATGAAAAGATTTCTCACTCCTTTCATTTTTCACCCTATGCTTAATACATGGGGCGAGTACGAAATGAAGTCAGATGACGTGAAATGAAATGAGTTTGAAAGAAAATGACAGAGTGTGAATGAAAACCTTCAGTCAGAAATCGAGATGACTGAACTTTGAATGAAAAAAGTTATTTTGAACAGGTATGGTCACCAGGCGACCTCAGCCTCTCGGTTTGAAGGTGATCAGTAGCGTAATTGTCCACTCCATTATCGCCGAGAAATACGTCTTTAACAAGGTCTTATCCAACATGTAGAAATTGATCTCACAGAATCCAGCATATATTCGAATCGGTCTCATCGCTTTTACCGCCTTGTATTCATATCCCGCTCTCACTCTACCCACGAATACCATTTCGGCAGCCCCACTTTCCCAGTGATCCAACATTTTGGCCGAAATTTCATGCAAATTTATGCAAATCGGTAGGGTCGCATTAATTATGGATAAGGTTATCGCGGCGCCAATCGGGAAGCTGAGATAGGCCAGGGGATGTATTCCATAGTTCAGGAATCGTATCGAGGCAACATTTAAGGTGGCCGAGAGTCCGAGTCCTACCGACATCAAGACGAATGCTTCCGACGCCATGTCCACGGCCGGAATTATGATCAGCATCTGGACCAGATTATACCTGTAGAGCCAGATCGGTGTAACCAGTCCGTCCCTATTTCTAAATATGTAAGAACGAACACCAAATTTTATTACATAAATGTGTCAATGACCGAATAGGGTCGTCACTTGTTTACTAAGGAAATTTAAGTTTGAAAGAACAAGAATTGTAATTTGGTCAACGTGCCAAGACAATCAGTGTTTCTCTTTTCCCTTCCAAAATCATTTTGGACTGGCCAGTGGTCAAAAGTGTCAAAACTGGTCGATATGACCAGTGTCTAAAAGTGGCAAATGGGGCAAATTGTTACAATAATGGGACACCTGAAGACATCAACTAACCCCATTTTCTTTTTGGACACTTTTAGACATTTTTGGACACCGGCCTTTTTAGCTGGTGGTCAAAAAGCTGGCGTCCCGTCCAATCTAATTGAAACACTAGTACCAATATTTCTCACGATTTTTAAATTTTTCAAAAATCAGTAAACAAATTATCATCATATTTAATTCTTACAAATTTTGTTCCGTCTTAAGAAAATATTTACTTTACCTGATCTGCTTAGCATGTTGAAAGCAGGTATTCAAACAATTAGCCACCATTTGTCCTGGTAGGACGAAAAAGAAGACGAGGAATGGGAACAGTCTTTGTATTTCTAAGAAAAATATGTACGAAAAGACGAGTCTGATGGTAATCGTGAAACCAAGAGCTATTCCGCCATTCTCAATCCCTGCCCAAGCCAACACGTCATCCAGAAAGTACGCTATGGCATCCGTTTTAAGAGGGAGGACGCTGAGTGGTGAGGTGACCGCGACTACACCGGATGTTATGAATCCCGCCATGCAAGCTATTCCTATTTATTTAAGATGTTAAAAATATATATTTGCATATTTAAGTAGTACTTAAATATGCAAATATATTTTCGCAAATCGCAAATGAGCATGTTTTATGGAAACATATCAAAAAGCTGGTGTTTTTACAAGAAGGTTTACGAAATTTGTGAGATTTGCGAAGTCGTATTTTGCGAATCCCCTCACAACAAAAATTTTTTGAGCATCGCAAGTTTGGTAAAAATGTACATATAAGTAAGTCTCGATGCGAATTTTTTTAGTGTATGGTATAATGTCACTAATAAACTACATAAATAATGCTTAAGATTAGTTTATCTGCTACACTTTGCACCTGTTACATCCAGCTTTCCATTGTGCAACCTTATTCCAGGAAATCCGATGAGTTTGGCATATTTCTGTATGATCGATTCGTGAACTCGAGACCTTTTTTTAACTAGAATGATCAAATTAATTAATTACAAAATCTATATCATGTACTAATTTTTGTTGCAAACTTATGTAAAAATACTTATCTTACCACCAGATTTCTCCTGTGGTCCTTGTAACATTTCATGTACCTTTATGATATTATTGACAAGTAGTACCGATTTTTGGCCCCATAAAATAACCGCGATTGCCAAGGCCGCCCCCATGATTCCGACCAGTTCGACTATTGCGTATGTGATGGCCAGCATTATACCCACTCCGACACGGGGGGCGTACATCATCCAGTACGCTTCGTATTGAGAGGAACGTTAGGACGAAAAATATACCAAATATGGCACAATACCAGGCCAAGTAGGCCCTTGGACGACTCTTCTTGTCGAACGTGTACCTACGGGTGGTGGAATTCCATCCGATCGGTGTTTTCCATAGGTAATTGTTTATCCAGAATACCTTATCAACGACAAACCAGACAAGTGGGGTTGGAATTTTTGAAATATTGCAGATGAGTATTATTTGCTAGTCGCAAGGACAAAGAAGGAATGGTTATATTTTTAATCGGAGAAAAATTAATAGAAGTAGAAAGGAAATCAATTTTGGGATATATGTTTTAATACAGTACTAAAAATCAGTTCGATTAGAGTTCGATAAGTTCGATTAGTAATCGAATTAGTTCAAGGTTTTTGTACGTAAAAGAATAATTATACAGAGGGTGAACCATGATTTTACATTTCTTACTTGTTTGTAATTATATTACTGTTAAATCTGTACAGTTGTCCAGTCTTGAGCTGTATTTAAGTGGCTTTACAATTACTTTGCAGGTAAACTTAGGGGTAGATACTACCAAAAATTTACATGCAGCACAATATCTAAAGATTTACAACTTTAGGCAAGGATTTTTGCTCACTCTCTGTATATTTAATTTAAGCAATATTTCAAAATACGGCGAATTTGTCCCACCCACCGATCTACTTACCTCAATATATATGTATGTATATCAGGTTTAATTGCAAATAACAATTACCCAATATTACCATAGGAATACCTTAGCAGGCTTGTAGATATGTATGTATTGTACATGTATAATTAATTTTACCCGGCTAAACTGAAATTGATGTGAAGAAAATCGAACATTTTGCAATAGGAGAAATGCCAATAAGGAAAACGAATAAACAAATTAAAAAACTGAATATACATATACATTCAGTCAGTTACATTTTTCAAATAATGTGATGGGAAATACTTTATTGTACAAATGTAAAGGCATAATGTAGTATGCATATGTGTGTATGTATGACGTACATATTTAAGAGCATCAAAATTTTGCTCGCAAATTTCTTCCAAATATTACATAACAACAATCTGTTCAATTTCAGCATACTAAAAGTATGTAAGTACTTTACTTACCGATCAAATAATAAACATGCCTCAAAATATTTACAAATATGCTAAATTAACTTTAGCCCACATTTTCAAGGGACAAATAAAACAATATGTACATAGATATGTACAAACATTTATAAATTCCAGTCGTCTATACATATTTTCATACATATGTAAATACCTATTTATGTAAATTATAGATATTTACATCTAAACAGATATACATTCATATATTGCGTCTATTACGATTGCACTTCTTCCGGCAGTGATAACATCCTTGGCACCTGTCCACGAAATTTCTCTCTCGCCTTATGTACCTTCACCACTTTTTCCCATACAATACTCCGACCTCCCCCTCCCCTCCCTACTCTCGTACCCCACACATTTCTCACCTCCACCAAAAATCCAGCCAAACACCCCGCACACATTGCAAGATAAAGTATAAAGACATTTTTCAAGTTCGACTTCCACAATCGTAACGGTTTTGGTTGCCTAAATTGCCACAACTCGCTCCTCGAAAATTTCACCTCTTGCCCAACCGTTCCCGAACCCGGGGACAATTTTTTATCTCCAAAAGCTAAATACATTGCGGCCAATTCGCGTGAAATCGTCATCAAATTTTGAATCCCGGACTCCGTAATTCTCTGCAGAATTTTAACCGCTTTTTGAGCAAAGTGGAGTCGAAGGGTCCAAATTAGTTGAAAATTGGTTAACTTATCTTCCGAGAGATAAGTGCAGGATGAGTCCAAAACGGTGAAGGATATCCCGTTGTCGTCCATGATGGGTTTCAAGGTGAGGGCGTTGTCCTGTATGACACTGATTGCTTTATGGTCTGCAAGAATCTTGAGGACTTGCACGGGTTGAGAGAATATTTGGCCGAGGGGGTCAAATCCTGGAATTACTTGGAAGTAGAGGTGCAAATCTTTGATTTTTCTGTAGCGAGGGATTGACATGGTTATGCGATCGATGGCCAGCGGCATGGCGTCTTTGGACGGGATTGCGAATCTAGAAATTTGTAAGATGCCATTATTTAATTATTATCCGATGTAATAATGCGAATGTTAACTATTCTGAATAAATCCCGATTATTTTGTGGCGCATACATACAGCTTTCAATAATTGCTCTAAGAGAAGAAGTTAAGAGGAGAAGTTATTTAGTCAATATTTTAAGAAAGAAATTCAGTAGATTCGAAAAACTTAGCTAGTTTCGCAAAATTCTCCTTGTACGAGTTTTCATAAATTTTCAAAACTACTGCATTTACGAATGTCCGAACAAAAAATAATTCTTGACAATTTTATGAAAAAAATGGGTTAAATTGGTTTATGCATAAATCATGTGTCCAATAATTTAGTTCAGTTCAATTTACTTTTGGAAATATTTAACTACCACAAATTGATCTAGAAAATTATCTATATGCCAAAATTCGAAGATTTCTGTGCAAAAATTTACCTAGACTCAGAATTCTTATAAATTTCTTCCACCGTTGCGAACTGCTTTGCTCTCAATGGTTTAATCATTTTTGTCGTCACAACACATAAATACGCATTTGTAAGAATGCTCAAAAACAGTAACCCAAACACGACACAGTTTGTCCTCTTGCATTGCGTGCTTTGCGCCAACAATGCAATGAAAACATCCGCAGAGTAGGCAACGCTTCGAAAAACGGCGCCATACGCGATTCCCGTGAGAAGAATGAACAGCCAAATCATGTCGTCAAACGGTCTCGATAACGTGGCCCACTTTGGTTCCTCAAAGTCCGGTTTATGATAACAGTACAGGAAACGAAAGGTTCGTTGGGCATTGACGTAGATTTGCGGATTGTACAATTCCATGTTACCCTCAAAGTGGTTAACGTTACACAAATAGCAAATAAAGAGGCCGGGATGGACGGGAATTTCGTCAACTTCCAGGTCAGAAACGGGGCTCAAAGTCAGGTTGAGTTTTAAGGAGAGAATTCTTGATATGATGTGAGATTCGTAACATCCATGATCCGACGCTCCGAATTGATCGCTCCAACATTCTGGTCTTAAGGCGCTGGCTGTTTCACCTGAAATCAGGGGACGAAATGACTTATTGGTCGCATCAGGAAATTCGTGTCGTGGTTATGTGGATAAATTTTTCCATATGTATTATTTGCAAAGCTATTTTATTTAAAGTACATGCCCAGAATATTACCACTACCACTTTTAAAACTTTCAACACAGATATTTTACAATTCTCACCTTCAGTCGTCGAGTATAACTGCATAGGACTCCCATTTCCTGTATTTATTTCCTTACTCAATTTAAACAAAGACACCAGATCTCGAGCATTTTCCGCAGAATAGACAATGCGATCCACTCCGTCACAAAAATAGCAAAATATTCCAATTCTCCAACTATCTGCATGAATAACCCGTAAAATTGCAATAATTGCATGAAAAAGTGGCAGTTCTTCAAAAATATCGCCGTCCCCATCTTTTTTCACCAGAGTCAAAAACTTTCCCGGATTCCATTTATCCGATTTATCCGGCGTTTTAATCGAAATCAGAAAGAATACGTTTTCCGAGTATCCATACGATGTGGATTCGATAACTGAACTCAATTCTTTGTTACGATCTAGTTGATTCTCTTCAGTGTACTCTGTTTCCATGGTAATGTGCACAATTGGACAGACGAGGAGTGGGCTAAATTTAATTCTGTGTAATAGATTTCGATATTTCGTCGCATTTTGAACTTGAGCCGTCCAAGATAATGTTAAAGAAGAAATCAGTCCTATTTCCGATGACAGCAGAGCTGACAATCTGTTAGGTAAGACAGTTATGGACGTGTCTTGTATATTTTGCAAGAAACAGGCCGAACAATTTAACAAATTCAGTACCGACAATTGTATGGATAGATTTCTAAAGGAAACAATAATCGGTTTCATTTTGTTATCAATTTTGAAATTTGAAATGCCCAAAAACATAGAATTGTATATGAAGAATTTTCTTCCTAAGATTTGCTAAGCAATACGCAAAATCATAAGATACCACATTTAACAAAGATTTAACACATTCGTTGAAAGCCCTACAACAAAGAATTTGTCCCTTCCAAGAAGCTTGGCTTAAAGTATTTTCGCACGTAGAATATCAGGTTTTGGAGACATTGTCCTTTGTTAAATACACATGCTCTCATCCAAAGGAAGACTAATCAACTTGGCACGCAAAGGTTATGTTTTTCCCATGAATAACTAAAGAATACACATATTTATTTGCTTATTATATAAATTCTACGGAGACAGCTCCGAAATAATCCCAATTTACTTCTTTTCTCACATTTACATACTTGTTTGTAGCCATAAGAAGATACACAATTAAAATATCTATTATTGGCAAAGTATTAAGTACGTTTACATACATGCGTAAATATGTATGTATGTATCTATCATACGAGTATAAATATATGAATGCATTATAGATAAGTACATACATATATGCATACACATAGATACATATATCTGCTCAAGTTTTATTTCCTAGTACATAAATTTTAAAATATTTTCTTTATATAATTTTTGGACCACATGGTTTCTTCAGCTAATACTTATTATACATATGTTGTGTAACGAATAACGATACATGTACGAACTTTATTGTATGAGATGTCTTTGTTACGATAACGACGCGTAAAAGTTAAATCGAATATTAGTCGATAAGTGATAGTCTCATAAGTAGTTATCAAGGTTCATGGGATGGGTTACCAGGGGATGTCACCGGACCGGCCTGTACATAATACATACATACACCATTGGTACATATGCACATAAGCAGAATCCATGCACCTATTTAAATACATACATATGTACATGAATGGAAGAATAGAGTGCGAATGTACGGGTTCTCTCTTCAAGTGAACGTTACGTTGGTAAAGGAACATCGTCCCGACATGCACTTCAGCGCCCCTGGTCGCCCCGAGATTGATGTACCCAGCAAGATTCACGCAAGAGAAAGAGTCGCTCGTTTGCTTTCCTGTGTTGTTCCTTGTTCCTTCACGCACGTGCACCGTTGACCCACGGAAATTAAATAACACCCAAGGTAAGCTTTTTTTCTGATAGTTGAACTTTGAATTCTACGTAATTTCCATGTAATTCTTCTTATTGATTATTTCTAATTTCGACTTTGCACAAACTTCGATCGTCCATCAATTAAGCATTTACAAATTTACTATTTACCTGTAAATTCAGGACATTTTTACCAAAAGTTGAAGTTTATGTCGGAAAGCTGGCATATTTTGGCTCCAGTTATTAAATACCAGTCCGTAAAACTGCTGCCTTAATCCTTACTAACGTAATTGTTTTAGTATTTAAGTACATCTTAAGTTCGAATCTATATACATATCACGTAAATAAATATGTAAATATTTACAGATATATTTATGTATACATGTACATTATTTTCTCAAAAACGAGAAACAAAACTGTCTCATTTTTGTGGTAAATAAATATGTACATATGTACATAAGTACTTTTCTTACCTACACTTATTTTTTTTAAACCATTTCTTTTAAATAAGTAAGTGTATCATAAATTAGACCCTTTTCTCCATCCCAAAACTATACATTTATTAATTCCAGCTAAAACTATTCTTAGAATGGGAAGTTTGTGTGTTTTAAGGTCTGACTCATCACATGCATTTTTTCATTAACTAAATACATATTTATTTACATCTTTCTCCAGTAAATCGTCCAGTCCTTCCGTGGAACGCAGCCCTTGAACACTCTCCACAATTTTGTTCACCAAAATGACGGTCCGAATTTTGCATATTTTACCCCTGACCAGCTTCGCTATCAACTGGCACAAAGGAGGCGACCTCGTTGAACAAATAGTCTATGCAAATGGCGGCTTCGTAATTGCGAATCCAATCGACCGAATAATCACGTTGGTGGAAAAATCTGGCAGAAAACATATTTTCCCGATCCGTCGAATTCCCGAAATAAAGCTGGGAACTTCCGACTTGGAAATGTTGGTTCGACTCGGGTCTCGACAATCGTTCATCCTAAACTTTGAAAATGAGTGGGCAAAGGACACCGTGATCGGAGAGCTGAACGTCATCCGGGCATATTTCCGTGATTTTGGGGTTTAGAAAATTTTTTCCGGTGAGTTAATACATAATTTTGTTGAGCTTTTTATATAATCAGGTCGAGTAGAAATTGGTGCAATTCATGCAGTTCTGGGTAGCATTGTAAAATCCTTAAATTTTGTAAACTTGCAAACTTTTACAAACTTTTACAAATATTTCTCGGGAAAATTATGTACGTAGGCAAAAAATTTGTGCGTAAAGTTACTCATAAACTTACAACCAAGGGCGTCTTTTTATTTTGTAAAAAATTTGTAAAATGAATTTAGGAAACGTGCGGATTTTACAAGTTACCAATGACTGGGTGAATTTCCTCATTATTCAGCTATCAAGTTTACAAAATTGTTTGAACTTTGCAGATTTGAGAATTTTGACAACAATGAACGGACCACAGCAATTATCACTCGCCCATTTGAAGTCTTCCAAAGCCTATACATGCCTATACAGTTAAAAAACAAAAAAATTTAAATTCTAGAGCATTTCTTATATGTTATAATAATTAAGTTCTTCCATGGATCTTGTTAAGGTCTTTAATATTCATTCTACTTTTGTTTGCCTTTTTTGATACACATTTACATAATTTCAAAAACTAAATATGTATTACAGAACTACATAGATAAATATGTGTGTGAATAAGTTAGTTAATTAAATTTTAACAGTTTAAGGCATTCTTTCGCCAACTTGCATTAGTTGATAGGAAATAATTTTAGAAATACTTATCCACAGTTGTTCAGCAGATAAATAATTAACTGTATAAATGAGTATCTGATCTAAAATACGTAATTTTTTCATACATATTTATTTAATTGAAGCCATAAAATATAGAAGTTATTTTTACACGTATGTACAAAAAGTCTACACATACACAAATATGTTTTAAATGTTTCCAATTAGAAATTAATATAAATAAAACTAATTATTTATATTTCTACACGGGTCCAATGTTTTTATGAAAATTCATGTCGCCATATTTGTCTACATACAGGCAAGCATGAATTGTTTAACTCTATCATAAATCTCACAACGCCAACTAACCCACCCCCAGCACACAAAGCTAACATATATTTCGCCACTTTTAACGAAATTGCGTTGGCCCCATGAATCTCAACTTGTCCTCCGCTTTCCCCCATTTTCTTGGCAAATACCACCTTAAATTCCTCCCTGCTCGTGACATTTATCGAAATTAACAATTTCCACAAACCCGACAACTTTTCCCACCTCCCCGAAATTCCGGATTGCCTCAAATTCGAATAAAATCGGTGCATCGTCGGCGCAAAAAAGTTCGTATTTGTATAAATCATGTTTGGAATGAGGAAAGGTGTTTTATTTTCGCGATTCCGTACAACTAATCGCGTCCCTTGAACTTTGATCAATTCACTCAAAAGCGATACAGTTTTTTCATCATCTATAAAGGCGAAAGTTTCGTAAAACGGTAGGATTTTGCTCCCATCCGAAATTGGCAGGAAATCCGAAATATTTGTGGCCAAGTCGTACAACTCAAAATGTTTCGCGTTCAGAAATGTCAAAGTAGAATTAATTTCACGCAAGAATTTCTTAAAATGTGATCCACTCTGATTTGCATAGCTTTGTACCATGGTCGGAATTATTATCGCTTGAAGGATTGACATCTGAGCAGTGATTCCTCGACGCTTCTTAAGATTTCCATATGTCGTCGTCACAATTGGCAAGGACGATTCTGCCAGGGCGTAAATCGTCGAGGGCACCTTTGGTGGGAGGGGTTGCGTCAAATAAGAAAATATGCACCCCCTTGTACAAATTTTCTGTAAGTATGTAACCCCCGAAGAACCATAGGGTCAAGGTAAAATTAAGGGCGATCATGTTACCCCCGAAAATTCGGAGTAAACCACTTCCTGCCTGTCCGAGATATAGGGACATTACATCTAAAAAGGTGACCAATACGGAACAATTTGTCTTTAACTTGACCAAAATTTGGTACACCGTTACCACAAGAGCCGTTAAGAAACAGCTGGTCAACACAAGCGTCCACGTGGCGGCGTCAAACGGCGACGAAAACGCTTCGAACCCACTCAACCCTGATGTTAATCCCGTTATAATGACGAATTTGAAATCGTCATAAACAATTTCATGCACCGTTTTCGGATTTGATGTAGCATAGAACGTATAGTTGAATCCGATGTACGTTCCCGCCATCTTAGTTGACCCCATGACGGCCCCCAGGTCTTTACTTTTGTGATGTTTCGTCGTGAAATTATAGACTTCCGACATGACCGACATCGTACAGATGGCTTGATCTGCTAGCACATCAAACGTGTATAAGTTTGCGCCACATTTGGACGTTTTGTAAATTGGCCAGGACAGCGTGGCCGTCTCGAGGATAACTTTTTTATGTAGATTTTTATTAATTTGTTCCCAAATTAGGTTAATGTCGTTAAGGGAGGATATTTTGAAGTTTTTGAAAGGTTCAGTGTCACAGGGAATGCATGCAATATAGAAATGATCATAATTTTCTGTGACTATGACAAATTTACTGGTTCCCATGCCAACAGCGAAGTAATTTTGGTAAAAGGACATCTCAACAAATAAATCAGTCACGATAAGAAGAATGTAGGATGGGTTAATTTCTCGAAGGATGAATGATAAGCCCAGTCGTAAATTTAAGAGGTACCGTACGTCCTGGACAAATGTGACCAAACACTGTGCCACTAGTCGATTTGTCCTTATTCTGCATAAATTTGTGTCCCTTGTTCTCCAAACTGTCGAACTTACACCTCTTTTGGATGAATTGTTAGGATAAATGGTGTCCAGTATGACAGGATGATAAAACTTGTTATTTGTGACAATTTCGTAGAAATAAGGCCCAATTTTGTCAACGCTACCATGCAGTCTTGGAAATTGGAAGACACAATTGTCGAATATTCCGAGCCATTTTATAGCTTCACTAACAATAAGTGTACACGTGATTAGTAACAGAGGCGTATATTTCATTTTGGGCAGATACTATTTTAAAAAAATAAAAAACTATGTATAGCGAAGTTTCTATTTCGTGTCCTTGTTTGAAAATACAAAAATATGGATCACAAGGTCCGAGTAAGTATGCAATATTTCACAGGTAACTACATATTTACCACATTTTACATGTATGTAAGCAAGTCAGATAATTGCGGATGCTTGTATAATATATCTATGTACACAAGGGTATGCATGCAAGCTGATGTATTTATTTATACATATCGATATTAAAAACCTCGATAAATTAGCAAATAAACAGGAAAATAAATTTTCCCCTGTATTTAATATGTATAGGAATGAGTAAATAAGCTATTAACATGTAAATTGGCTGAACTAAAAAATTCATATACATAAGTATCTAAATATCATGTTTGGAAAATAATATGTGGCGTAAATATTTTCGTACTTGTTGAAATTGGTTATTATTGATGTCAATAAATATATACGATTTTTGCATTAAAATTTATATTTTCATGTACCACAACTTAAATTAACTTAATAAGTTTAACTATAAAATATTTGTCACTACTTTTTTCCTAAAACTTTCATGTGCAGTTCACTGGGCATGACAATTAATTACCTTAAATCATTCTTTATGTAAATAGGATCTAACGTCGACTTTTCTAATCTAATATTAATCTAGTCTTACAAAGGAATTGAGCTGTTGAGCATAAAAATTCTGTCCTACCTAAATTTCCTTCGTATTCGCTTTGTTGTAATTTTATAGCTAGGTAACAGAGAAAATTATGTCATACAATTTTTGCTTTAAAACTACACAAATTTACGAACAACTGTAAATATCAATAAAATCGTACAGGTAGATTTTCATCACGAATAAAGCTTATGACACGATGTGCTGTTGGTCCACGGAACTAATTAGGAAAAAAACGAAACGAAACGATAGGTATTTTTCTTATTGATATTTAATTTCATGATCAATTAAGTACTATTCACTCACCGTTACGGCGGATATCTCAACAAGTTCCAGATCCTTCATGGCGAGAAGGACGTTCTCAAACTCTTGGATAAAATTCCCAACACCAAATCTCTTTGTTTGTCCAGCGTCGTCCAAGTCATCGACAATAATGTCGGTGTCTGATCCTCTGAGCAATTTCAGCTGCTTAAGTTCCTTTCCTGCGGATAAGTATAATGTAAATATGTACATTTATGTGCAGATATTGATAAGTGTATCTACATAACATTGCTTATCATACAATTAGGGACAAGATTTCACATTTTTTAAATTAAAAAAATACGACAAAAACGAGAAGCTTCTGTTCGTCAAAATTTCCATAAAAACTATCTGACAAACCAGTTTTTGATCGAACTATGGCAATTTGCAAGCTAAACTACCAAAATTACTATGCATACCTTTGAATAAGTACTTATTGTCCGCAAGTCCCTTAACTAGGCCGGACAGACTCAACTCGAGCGTCATATTCAGCGTAATCTTCGTCAACCCTCTGATTGATAGCAGCAATTGAATCTGACTTCTGAACACGGCCTGATTTACGTCTCCACGTAAAGTAATCCCATCATCACGAAGGAAAAATAGCTCCAACTCGGTCACCGCTGGGTACACAATTTTCAAATTAGCCAACAGTCCAAGGCTCTCTGGCACGTCTTTAATCACGACTTTCTTCACCGTGCGGGACAACACGTCTCCACAATTAAATAATTTTTCCAGAAAATTGTCCAGCGCGTCTTTCCCCGCCGCGTTGCTTCGCCCGAAAATAAGTTGATCGAGGTTCTGATATTTCACGGCACCAATTAATCCCCCCATTTCATCCGGACATTTGAAGATATCAATACATCGATTGTGGAGAATCTTCAACTGGGGCATATTCCTCGGAAGGGAGAATTCCTTCGGACCAGTCAACGGACAATACTTTCCACGATACGTGTTAAATCCAACTTTCAGTTGGGTCAAGGAATTCGCGACCTGAGAAATTACACGACTTAGGGCGTTACCGTTAAACCCCCGGCTAGAAGGACCGCCCCGCCCAATGTGGCAAAGGTGATCAAGATTCGGATTCTGGCTCAGATCCGGGTACAGGTTTCCCGTAATGAAGAGTGTCTTCAAATTCGGTGCGGCGTTGAGAACCTGCTGCATGAAAGGGTTCGCCTGATCGTCCATGATGAATCGAATGCACTCAAGTTTAGATTTTACTGGGAGGGGAGCACCAAGCTTTTCTAGAGCGGGGTCCATCCCCCTTGGGCGACATTCAACAGTTAACCGCTTCAATTGAGGACAATATACTGACAAGGATTGGTAAAGGGTGGGAAGAACGGCGACTCTGCAATGGACCGTGATTTCTTGAATTGTATCAGAGTACTTGTTGCATACCGTTAAAATTAATATTTCTGCCACCCGGGAGTGTAACGTTCCGATGAGATTACTTGCAGTACTTGCATCATCGAAATTTACGTAGCGTTTACATCCTTTAGAAATCGTGATCGATCTGCATAGCTTGGGTGTAGAGAGGGTGGGATAAATAGTTTTCAGAAATTTAGCATGGTCACAGCAAGCATCTTTTTCTTTGAGGTTGAGTTGAAGACATAGTTTCGGTTTTGCGAGGGACAAAACCACGTCGTTCCAAAGTTTGGAGACGAGACGGAGTTCTTTTCCGCAGAGGGATTTGTACTGAAATATTTCTTGCAACACCTGTAATTAATTGGGGAAAAGTTCATATAAAATGTCAACATGTTCAGAAGAAACACGGGTTATATTTTGTATTTCATTTTACTGGAAAACAACTTACGACTGGATTTGATAAGGCCATACATATCGGAGATGGTGGGGCGAGATGGTCCATTATTTCGAAGTGTTAAGGCGACCTAGCAAATATCAAATATGTAAGCGTTGTAATTAAATGTAATGTGAAAAACATATTATGGTTGCAATTTTGCAAAGCAAGATTGAAAGAATTTACGATTTTCAACACAGAACAATTCTCATTGTCCAAGTTTTGACTTGCTAAATATGTATGAATTTAATGAATTTAAATGTCATTTTTCAATGATAAAATTTCATTTATTTACCTTTACACTTCAAATATTTTCCCCAGTTTTTATTTTTATAGTTTTTAGTTGTGCGAGTTTGTGTTGCTGTCATTTGAACTTGTTCGCGGTTACAGTGCTCTTCGGCAAGGCAGTTTTTAGTTCTAAGGAGGAAATGCCCTCTGCGTGCCTCATCCTCAGGTCTTGATGGCCTTTGCATATGTGGGTCCCCTAGGTGAGAGAAGGATAATCTTAAAGAGGTTATCCTCCGTGGTCACATTTGCGCCTGCCACACCCACTCAAAGATATGGAAAATACGGAAAAAGCCTGTTTTCATGCGCTTTCAACTTTCAGCAAAAATACAATTTTCCAGGATTTTGATAAAATTTGCATTTTTATAATCCCAGATACTTGTGTGATCATATCCATATTAGGAATTTCAACTTTTTTGAAATTTATGTGTGCATGCAAATATGCAAGCTGTTATAGCCTAACAGTTTTAGGTTCTTATTGAGTATGAATCTTACTTTCCCAGCATATGTACGGTATATAACTGCAGCTATAATGAAGTTGCATTTGCATGCATATAACTACTATACATCTGATAACAAATTTCTGCAATGTCAATTAATTTACACCGTTGACACGATAAATCTGTATTTACCATGCCAATTCTTTTTGCATGACGTAATTCACACGAGTCGAAAACCTAGTGAAATGACATACAAAATTAATTCATTGTTTATTGACACGTACAAAAAGCTTACGACGGCATTGTCTCAGTCACAATAAGGAAGCAACTGATCGGTCAGTATACAATGATAATTAAGCACACATGTAGCAGATCAGGTAGACACATAACACGTACATATGTCCACTACGCTAATTAAGTATGTCTCATTCAGACAAAAGTAGCCCATATTATTCACACCATGATTAACTACTCATCGATCATCACGGTTTGTTTGCTGTTAATATATAAAGCAGCGTCACTGAGCGACGAGGAAATTGCAAAATTAGCAGAGGACAAATTTGCGACAGGGTTTGATCCAGGACAAGCGGACCAGGTAGATACATAGATAGTTTAGTCATTTAATTTGCAAGGAGTTACACTCTTTGGCGTAAATAATTCTGGTTAATTTGATAAAATGACACGTGACAACGACGTTGTCACAATGGATACACATTTCCAGTTACAGTGCAAAACGTACATAATATACCACAATTTACGGTTCGCATGTCTCATTTTGTAAAAAATTGTTGACAAACAAAATATTTTCTAATCATAGAGATTTCCCGAAATTCCACAAATTTAGCAAATGTTTAATAATTTTTTTTATGGAACTTTGATTGGGTACGCACTTGTCGTGAACACCTCCAATTTTTATAATGTAGTATATCCATAATTTTTTGGAGGGCAAATACTTCAGAAATGCCAATCATATCGTATTATTTTATGTGTAAATATGCTATACATGACTAAATATTTTAATTGCTTCCTAGAGTGACGTACCACCACTTCCGGTATTTAGTTTTCCTATAGTTTTAGAACAAAATACTCCTCCAATTACAACAGGTAAAAAGAAATAAATATGTGCAAAATTTCTTAGGTTTATATAAATATTATATTCGGCAGTTTTATTGAGGGTATTCATTACGAGCCAGTGTATTCGCATCGCAACACATTATTAAAGCTTTTTGCGAACTATGCAGCAGCCTTGGAAATGCGCAAGGTCGCAAGTCAAATTTTTTACGAACTAGCCAACTTTGGGGGTATTCATAATTGTCTTGGAAAAAATAAGGGGTCAAGCTTCGTAAAAATCATAACGCGATTTTTAATGACAAAATCTTGCCACGCTTACAAAATATCATAATCGTGGTAACTTTTTTATGATACGAAGAATATCAGTATTTAGGATATACATAAGGGAATAATGGACATCCTCTTTCTTTCTGCTGACGCTGTAAACAATGCCATGTAAATAACTCGTAATGAATACTCTCATTATTCATGTAAAGAAATTGAGAATCAAACCCCGGCTCTACAAGAAGAAGCATTGCCCCCAGTAATCGCAACATCCGATGTGTCGACTTCATCTGGGGAGAGACTGGCGAGCAAAATTTCTGATGCAGAAAAAAGCTTTGCCATGGGCATGGGAATGGCGAAGGTTAGTCGCACAACTTTAAAATTTTAATTTTACGATTATCCAAACTCTCAATTTTTGTAAGCAAAAATTTTAAAAACCTTCAATAGTTTACAGAGCCACCTGTTCCCATGGGAGAATTTGTTTTACCTGCTGGATTAGAAAACTTTAATTTTCCGGAGCAACCGACCGGTAATAAAATTTAACGTGGTCCATTATCATTTTTTTTGCATATGCTGCTTTCCAGAAATTGCACAAGATGTCCCCAACGACGACCAGACAAAGAACGACCTTAGCCCAGTGATAACTTCGTCGGATAAAATCTCCAGTCTACTATCAAAAATGGAGAATAATTTTGGTGACATTGATCAGGTGAATTACGTACAAATTTCGATCGAAAATATCGAAAATATTAGTTATTATAAATAGTTGAATTACAGCTGTCGATTAAGCACTTACCGATGTATCATTTTTCCCAAAACATTGACCTGATTCAGATTATGTAAACTCCATGGAAGCATGTCGTTAGTAGGGTTCGCAATGGGCTTCGGGTTGGCCCGGACCGGACCGAAATCCGACGGTTCGGTCCCGGATTGGGCCATCCGCCAATCCGGACCGAAAGTTTCGGTCCGGTCCTCGGTCCGGTTTCGGATCAGCTTTTCAAGGACCGGACCGGACCGCCGGTTTTCGGTCCGCCCGAACATTTTGGCGCGCAAGAAAATTTAAATACTTTGACCTAAAATTTTTGAATTTTTTCAGCTAAACTCATGAATTTTCAGTGTATTCAAATTCTATGTTACATAGATTTCAAAAGTTCTTCACATGATCCATAAGAATTACGTTTTTTAGGTTTTAAAGTTTTTACGCTCCTTGATTTTGGGAGGATTTTTTAAATTCCTACTCTTGGTAATGTATTTTTAAAACTAAAAAAAGGAAATTGTAAATTGGTCCTGAGATTATGTGTATAAACACACTGACCGATAGAACTTGCGAGACCTCATCCGCTACATGTATCTAAATCTAATTAAATCTGAAACATTTGGCATTTTGGTTGTATATACCTACTTGTACCATATATGTCTTACGCATAGTTACATAAGACATTTATGCATAATACGTGTATAAACCTCAATGCACTATTTACACATACTATATGTGGTCACTATCAGGGGTGGGCAAGATACTTTGGTCGTAAGATACAAGATACAAGATAAGATACTTTCTAGGATAAGATATAAGATACAAGATAAAAGATACATCTTGTTCAAGTACACAAGATACAAGATACAAGATACTTTCCTAAAGATTGAGTAGTCAAGATACAAGATACAAGATATGTATCTTAAGATACTTTTATACTAGATAAGATACTTTCTTTTTTTAGCTTGGTATTCATGCCCAATTGGTCATGTTTAATAATTTAAACGAAAAAATTTAGTGAGTACAAAATTTAAAATCATTCTATAATCATCTTACAAATTTTGTAGCCAGTGCTTATACTTCGAAAAATTTCGAAAAACTAGAACTCTACCTAACATACACATTTTTAAGAAGTTGGTATTATTTTTACAATATTCCCTGCTTATCTAAACCCTATAAGATATATACACTAGTTCAGCGTAGGTACATATCATGTAATGTGCATGTATGTGTACAAATGTACGAGTACAAATGAACATATATACATATACATATATATATATATATATGTACATATGTATGCATGTAGAAGTTTTTTACAAATTGGCAAAACATAAACTAAAAATTCACCAAATTCTGGTTCCGACAAATTCATGGTCAAATTGACTGTAGAACGAAATTGACTTTGACTTAAGAATTTGACGGAATTTTGAGAAAAAGTATCTTGTATCTTGACAAAACTATCTTAAGATACTTTTCTGCCAGGCATATCTAGATAAGGTACTTACACAAGATACTATTCGACTTTCTAAAAGATACAAGATACAAGATACAAGATACTTCTCTGATCAGGCGACCAAGATACAAGATAAAGATACTATCTTGTATCTTGTATCTTTTATCTTGTATCTTGACCAAGTATCTTGCCCACCCCTGGTCATTATTATACTGTACTATGGGTTTTTATACTATAATGATATATTTTTCGGTCCGCCCGGATTGACCGGTCCTGTCCTGGTCCGGTCCCGGTCCGGTTCTGGGCCGAGCGGAAATTTTTCGGTCCGGTTTCGGATTGGTGGTTTCGGGCCACGGTCCGGTTTCGGATCAGGGCTGATCCGGACCAATCCGGACCATTGAGAACTCTAGTCGTTAGCAATGTAAAATTGGTCTCATGGAAACTAATTTTGTTTGTTAATTCTTAGATTTCGACATCTCTGAAATTGATTCCGGATTCCGGAAACGATACAAAAATCATCGGTACAAAATATCGGATTCCAGTTCCTCAGAAATTAAAATTCTAAAATTTGTATTGCCCCCATCTAGAAAGTAAACAGCAGGAGGTCATCACCACGTCAGGATCATCGAAAGAAGATGCCGAAGGTATGCCTGCGGTGGGAAAGCCACCTTCTTTGGCCCCTGTTTCGGGTGAAGTCGCAGATGAAGCTGCCGACGCCATGGCGCGAGCAATGGCAGCATCTGCAGCGATGGACAATATGTTCTCTTAACTCATTTTCAGTATAATATATTCATATTCAGTTTTGTGCATAAGTATTTTCTTCTATCGAAAGTCACCACAAAAACATATATGCACATTTTGGGGGTATTTATCAAGAGGTCGCATCGTAAAATAATTTTTAACTAAAGTTTCCGAACTAAATACAAGCCTTGAAGATGTGCAATGTCGCAAATTTAAGCCAATTTTATTTGCGAACTTTGTTTTTTGCTAACGTAATGAATACCCCCATTATGTCGTAAATACTAACATAAATTTAAATATGTTATCAACTCCCATTTAGGTCAATTGAACTCTTGAAGTTTTAACGATCTGCATACTTGTATTTATAAATTTCCGTAAAATAAGAATATACGTAACTAGATACAATGTCCAATCACCTGTTCGAGAAATAAATCGTGTCATTTATTATACATAGACATACACACATATTTAATAAGCAATATGCAAACATATTTTTGCGTATTTCACGTTTTAATAGACTAATATTTAGACTAATCACTGTCGATGTTTATTGAATTACTGCACGACTTACTTGGTAAATGCAAATGTACGCAAATACATTTACATAAGCACGTTCGAACTTGCAATAATTTTTTGAATAAATTCACATATAAAATTGAACAAACCTAATAGTAATAATTGCGCACATTGGCATAAAAATTGGCATTTTGATGTGATAAAAGTGACTGTATGTATGTATTTAAACATGTAAATATTTATGTAATGTAAATATGTAAATACAGATACATGCATACGTAGATACAAAGTCTATTTGTGTGAAAAAAACGTGCATGCAAATTGAATCAAGTAAATTTGATTGAGTCATGTTTTACCAAATTGGTGCATCATCATCCTTGCGCAATAATAAATAATATAAACGTTATCAACTTAATTTCCTGATTGGTTAGGCGTTAGATAAGTATACGCGAGGACCGTGCATAAAGTGTTTGTTTGAAAAATATCTTTCTCATATTCATGTTAACTGTAGTAGATGAGATGGCAGACTGGTTAGGTAAGAGGACATAAGTATATCACCTGTAAATATGTAGAATTGATGACATGCTTTATGTTCAGTCTCACATTTAGCAAAATTATAGCCTCGTTTAGTCGATAATTTAACCATTCATCAGGTGGACTCTGAACGAATATCTAGCTTAAGAGGAAAGTGCATCGTAATACACCAGAAATTTCTGTTGATGAAAGAAATTTTAGTTAAACAGGTTAGCCTCTGACTTGCACTTTGATAGTGCATACTTAATTTATACTGTATTCAAGCAAAAAATTGTAAGTATGGATTCTTGGATTTATTGTTCTATCACGATTTCATGTGATCAAATCATTTGAGCTGATATAATTCGGCTTATATAAGTATAATGGCTTCTGGGAATTTGATAAGTTTCTGATCTATTTACATAGATATCTATGTACTATACACATACGTCTTCATGGACATAATCTAATATAAACATGTTTTTTTAATTGCCACTATTTTTTCGTAAAAGATCTATGCTGGCGGAAATTTCCATGCAATTTTTAGGTTTCCATGTATGAGGTATGTTTAATGTTTTAGACATTCTGTTTACACACTAATTAGTCATTTGAAACCCACCATGACCTGGAACGACCTTGGGGAAGTGTTGCCAAACATTTCTACCCGGGAAACTCAACAACACGACGACGAATCAAATTTCCTCGCAATCTTACGCAAGAATCCACAATATTTTATCGCCTGGTATGGAGAAGATCGACGCCCAATTTCTGGTCGATACGGTGCCGGAATGATTTCCCACCTACTCGAATATTCTAGAAGACCGAGATCACGACGGGAAATTGAAAACTACGAATTCTCCGAGTTTATGCCACTTCAAGAACTAATTTACTTCTTTATTGAGGCCTTCTTAACAATCCAGAATCAAAGAAAGCGTTGGTCATATGCAGCGACCAGGATGATCAATGGGGGCAAAAAATTAGCAAATATGTTAGTCGATAAAGGGCACGTAAACGCGGACTACTTACCTGCCTTGGAGTATTTGTATCGCTGGATTTTAGCCAATATTATTTTCGCCAAGGGAAAATTGATCGCCACATCCAAGCTCATTGACATTGCCAGTTATGCAAATTATACGACACAATGGGACAAGCTACCAAGCAAGTCGAAAGCGCTCGTCACCGCGGCAAAGTGCTTCTTTCTCGCGTCGATGAAGATGACTGATTCTAACCCGAAGGCACAGGCCAAGCAGGAATTACGGAAGGTAGAACATATTTAAATTTTACTAAGATTGGCGATCCTGAAAAACTTGAACAATTTTGTACACTCTTAGAAATCCAGTATTAAAATAATACCAAGCGGTATTATACGACTCCGTGTATTATCGATACATAAGTAATACCGTGTAGTAAGCACGGTACTAAAGTTTTACCGTATTGCCAGCAAATCTTAACGGAACGGTGTAATTTTAATACCAATCGGAAGTAATAGGTTTAATACCGAGAAATCAATACCTGCGTGACCATTTAAATGGTCACGCAGGTATTGATTTAAATACAAATCTGGTACAAATGCATTTGTACCAGATTTCTATTTAAGAGTGTGGACAAGATATTTCAGAACAATTAATATCGGAAACAAGACACGGCATAAATCGTACTTCCTAAGTAATTTGTAAATATTATATAAGATCAAAAACCGGTTTCTGATGCAATCGAGAAACTACGCAGATACCGTAAAAACTCAAATAGTATCCGGGGGCTACTATTTACAAAATCGGTGGCTGGGACCGGGCTACTATTTGAGCAAGGCTACCATTTGGGCAAGGTCACTATTAATAAAATCAAGAAAAAAGACACGGCTACTATTTGCATAGACTATGATTTTTATTTCCTGAATCAAACTCAGATTAAATTTTACTAACAGCGCCAATTTGCAATTAGAGTCGCAGTTCATAGGAATATTATTCTGCTCAACCTGCTCTTCAATGATTTTTTCGATGAGATAAATTCGTGTTTTGTCATCAACTCATCGTTTCGATAGTGTTTCCGATTATATTGAATTATAATTTAATTATCTTAATGAATAGTCAAGAAGTGTGGTTGTATGGAAATAGAGATGCGTCTATTCGAATAAGGCTACTATTTGGGCAAGGCTACTATTTGAGCAGGGCTACTATTTGAGCACGGTCACTATTTACAAAATTATGAAAATAGACCCAGCTACTATTTGAGCAACGGCTACTATTTGAGTTTTTACGGTATGTATTTTTGTACATTATGTATAATCTTTAGATTTATCAAAACAGAATTTTTTTAACACAGGTAGTCAACCTAGATCCGCTAGTATACGAGTGGCACTACAACTTAGGAAATTGGATTCGCTGTGAGCGAAAAACTTTAGCTGGCATGAGCGATAACTTTTTACTGAAACAATGTCCCACCGAAGAGGAGATGCAAATTCTTTGGGAAACTTATGACGTTTGCACCTACACGAAAATCGGGGACGATGGCAAGGCAACAACTTTGAGAAGGATGGCGTTAGCCGGCGTTTGTCAAGGTATGGCGGAAGTTGTTCGCTACCGTTGCCGGGCTAGCCTGGGCGGAAGTTTTAAGTTCGGTGGGTTACACCTGGCTAATAATTTTGCAACTGTGGAATTCATCCGAAAACAGACCAAAGCGTAAGTCCCTCGACTTAAAAACGAAGAAATGCACGAAATGCTCGTAGATATTTAATATTAAAATATGTAATTCGCGGTATTCAAAAGTCAATACCAAAGAGGTATTAACAACTAATACCATGTAGTAATAGCTTGGCATTAACTAGCCAATTTTGTATAGGCCGGTATAATTTCAATACCAGCCGGTAGCAAACTTGATACCCAGGAATCAACTGCCTGACTATACCAGATTTCTAACACCATAAACCGCTTAATTAGAAGATTGGTTTGAACCAATCTATAATAATTGTTTGAAATTTACAGGATCCAGGACGAAGAGAGAGCAACATTTGCAGAGTATATTCGCTTCGGAGAAATATTTGCCGGGATTCTTCCCCATCAATTTAGAGATTACAAAATGGCGGAAGTATTTTATAAAGAGGCCTACTTGATAATGCCCAGTAATAGCAAGATAAACCACAAACTAGGAACCTTGTATTTTACATCGGACGAGGTAACGACCAACGTTTCTTGTGCAAGCAACCATTTGCAAGAAATAACCGCAAGTCGTTTTTGCAGCTTTTGATATGCAAGGCGCAAGAAATTTCTTCCTGTCGCTATACATGGTTCATCGGGCGCAGGTAGAGGAGTATCAGTATTTCATGCACTTTCTTGAAGTTTCTTGCACCTTGCATTTCTTACGTTTCTTGCAATGCAAAAATATGTAGCAAGCCCGCAAGAAACGAAGTACTGGTAACGATTTAGCAAATTATATCAATTGAAAAGCAATTAATTACACATGCAAGCCCACATCTTTTTTGAATGTTGAAAAATACATAGGCGAAAATTCAGACAAATAAATGTAAAACGGATTTTTCAGCTCCGAGACATCCCTCGCTCTCTCCATTTCCTCCGCCGCGCCGTAAAACGTGAATTCTCCAACGTTTTCGCAACCCTTGACTTGCTTGGTGTCATGATTTCGTCCGTTTCCGAGCACCTCGCCGAAATCGAGGAAGTCATCCAATTGTACTTGGAACGGATCAAGGATGGATTCACAGGCCTGACTGAAAGTGAACTAAAATGGATATTGGGTTGTGCCAAATTCATGACAGTGTCGGATAAGGAGGACGCAGTTACAGTTTGGATTTCCGGTCAAGAATTGAACCCAACTAAAAATGCATTTGCTGTAAGTCACCTTAATTATATTGAGGGTATTTATGATTCCTTCATATTCTTCGGATCGTAAAATAAATTACGACGGTTATGATACTTACGGTTAAGTATCGCACGATTTTGTCATAGAAAATCGTGATCAATTATTTTACGAATGCGATTGTGAACATCCCAAGATTCCTAGATTTTCAGCGTGTTTCCATCGAGTGAATTGTATTATAATTATGTAGTGAGAATCTCACTGTGAGGTTGTCATTAGATAATTATAATACAATTCACCCAACGGAAATCTCAATATTTTGATCAAATTATCGTCACATTTGCATATTTGTATTCAACTTTAGTTTTTGTAGAAACTTGCTTAATTGTCAAGCTAGATAATTTAATTAATAAATATTTAACAGAAACTGCTCCTCTCAATTAAACGGTATCACTGGGATAACAACTTGATAAATTTGAACCTGGTTAAATCCACGCTAGAAAATTCACTGAGGACACGAACCGATACTAATGAGATTGCCATTTTGCGAAATATGATTGAAACTCTTCCCACTGCTACCAACAGGGGAACATTTCAGACAAGTCTCCCTACAAGAGGTGGCTTCAGCAAAAGAGGAGGATGCCAAGAAAGCGATTTAGATACCAATTGGCGTACATCTTCCAGACCAGTTCCTAACCGTGGGGAGGTTCCCACCAATAATTTTGGTAGGAGGAGAACTCTTAGACAGCAGCATCGTCCCACAAGCCCAATCAATTGGAGATGAACTTTAATAATGGACGGCTCCACTTAAATTTCCTATAAATTTCTCTGTGACAAGTTACATATACACAAGTTTTAAATATTTTAAACTTCTTCAGGTGGTTATATAACATTTTGAAATCAAAATTTGAACAAAATCTTCATTATAATGAGGGTATTCACGCACCCCTGGTAACTACGTAAACAGCGTAAAATCCGCAAACTTACAAACAGCTTCCCGTGAATTCACTTTCGTAATTATTTTCGCAAAAATTTATCTGATAACAAACAAAATGCCGATCATTTCCAGAAAACGGAAATTAATGGAAGACATTTGTGGAGCTGCATTTATTGATATAATAAATACCACGAACAGTGGAGGTTGTTCCTATAAAAATTTCGAAATTCAACCCTCCTAAATTTTAATCATAAGTTATTTTTCGACTCCACACGAAATCTTAGCTGAATATATAAATTCTTAGAAATCGGTATGGATACCCCTTCCTTATTGCCCATTTGGTTATTTTTTGTTCATCTTTGACTTCATATTCTTTCATGAGAAGTTATTAAGTATCACCGAATTTCAGATTTTTGAGACAAGTTATGAAAATCGGTATGGGTCACCCCAACGGGTCCCGGATGTTAAAATTTTACCAATTTCACTTTATATTCTTCCATTATGGGCCTTTAGCAGCCTCTATACGAAATTTCAGCTCGATTGGATGATTTTGAAAAATCGGTATGGGTCACCCCCTCGGGTACCTCCGGTTGATAAATTTTCCAATTTCACTTCATATTCTTTGATTAGGAGTCACTAGCAACATATATTGCCAAATTTCTGTATCGAGCAATTTTTTTCCTTCCCCAAATTGAGTTTACAAAATACTTTACAAAATTAGAAGACGCCTGTGAGCTGCGTAAGTTTACAAAAGTTTGTAAACTGATTTTCCTTGGCAATTTTTGTAAACGTTTGTAAGTCTACGGATTTTACGCTGTTTACGTAGTTACGAAGGAGGGCGTGAATTGCCTCAATATAATTCTTTTTCTACATTAATCGATGCATAAATAGATGATCTACTTATTTCCCTTCTTGCAAGGAAAAATGCATACTCGTTCGAGCTAGATTTTATTCAATAGCATAATCATTTTTATATTTGTTCATGCATATATGCTTTCGTCATAAAAGTTCTTCAGAGAAGATTACAATTATTGATTAAATCAAATACAATGTCAAAGAGAGATATAGTCGACCAAATATATTATATTAAATAAAAAATACTTGGGGCAGTCATGGACATGTCCATGACCATAAATGAAATTTACATAGGTTTACTTCATGACGCGTATGATTTAATTTAACTTGTATCTTAACAAGTCACATAAACGCCAAATGTTCATACACATATTGACGTATACGTATGTAATGCTTACGTAAGTTATGTATAAGTCACAATTTTAAGTTATAAGTTTTGTATCCATGGATGCTCCAAGTATCCATTATTTATGTTACCTTTCCTTGATAGAATTATGGTCTACGAAATGCATAAACATATTAAATATTTTAATCACAGAAATATTCTTCTGTCGGCAAGTATTTTTAGTCCTCCTCTCTTTACATTTAGCTATTAAATAAAAGACATTATTTCAGACTCTCTGTCCAAACTTGATTCCGGATTCATCCAGAACTATCACATAAATAAAAGATCACAAAATTTTTCCAAGCACCACAACTCCTCGCCACTGAACATGGCAATCTCTACTGAAGGGAAAGCATTTTCAGCGTATATCACTTTATTTCAAAAGTGTAGCTACAATCAGCCAATTAATTTGGAGGCAGAGGGGAATACATTTTTCTACAAGTTTACCCTCTGGACAGGTCTAAATTTAAACTGCTTCATTTTTCGGTACACAGCCGTTAGTTTGGGAGTCGTTTCTTGCATTTACGTTTGCATGGGAAAACTGAACGGTCATTTTAATTCAATTCCATTCTGGATTTCATTTCTTCAAGTTATGCTTGCAATCCTGGGAACTTACACGTTATGGATGGACGTTGCGTTTGGAAAGAAAGGCAATTTACTCGAGATGGTATGGCGAGCTTTAGCTTATCAGTTGCAACAAGGTCATTCCGGTAAGTATGCGTATGCACTGTAAGAAATTCGGTAGGGTATTTAACATAGTTACTTTCCCGGCCATTCATTAGCCCCCTAGGTAATTCCCCGGGGTTGTAATTCACGCCGAGTATAAATACTTATGTATTTGTATGTACTGACATGTACTGTAGTAACGTGCTAAAATTATTAATTTGGAATTCTAAAATTCATGCTGGATGTCCCTGCCGGTTTATTGTTTCATTTATGAGCTTGCCGTTTTTGTTGAAATCTGGGCACAAAATCGGTGGAGCTACATACAGAATTATCTACAAGGGCCAATTTAAACATGATTTGATGTGTAAATATTCATATTTCACATTTCAGGGATTCCATCAACAAAATTTGACCCTGTCGGATTCTTCTTGTTGATAATGGTCACCTCATTTTTCCTCTTGGTTCCCACTATGTCCTTTATTTTCTTATATTTTAAAATAGACCCATACATCTACGTCCTGCCGAACAATGAGCACATTGTGTCAATCCTGTTACGGGTCACCCTTTCTGCTTCCTGCGTTTTTGAAGCGTTCAATGTCTTAGCCTTCACTATCCTGTTATCCATCACCTTTACCAGAGTTACTAGCAACATGGTTCGTAAAATCGGAAGGATTTCATTGTGGGACAAACTTATCGAAAATTATCGAATTCTTCACATCATAATTCAAGTAATCACACCCTTTTCGTCCATGCTTATCGTGGGAACCATGCTACTTGGATTGGTTATCGGAGTTATGTTCAATTTTGTTAGTATTGCCTTGGCGAATAAAATCCCGGCCTTGTTTTACCCGTTTTTCCCTGCGGTATCGGGGCTAATAATGTATTGTATGATGGTCATTGTTCAATTTGCGGTGAATCTTCACACCGAGACGGAAGATATACTGGTGAGGGCGCAGAAAATGATTTGTGGCATGATTCCTTTGTCAGCACAGAAGGAGACACGGATTCGAACAAGAACTTTGAAGAGTATGAAAGTTACAAATTTTAAGGGGGGTGCGGCAGGATTTTGTTTTTATGATTTGGACAAATCCATCAAACGAGCTTTTTACATGGCGTATGTAGAATACACAATTGATGCATTGCTGTCTATCGAAGTTTAAGGAAAGTAATTATATAGAAATTAGTATGAGTGTACATTGCTCAAAATATGTAGATAAACTTGCATATTTAGAATTCCCGAATGTATATTGTACATACTCCTATTTTTTTAACCATACGATCCTCGACGTCATCACTCTCATTACTAATATTACTAATAGCATTGGAGACGTGTGCGAGACGTGGTGGTGTGAGGTTGCTCTCTCTCCGACTCTCTTACTTGACTACAGAAGTTAGCGTATTTAGTTAATTTATTTAATTAATTACGAAAAGAATTACTATTTTGGAATTTTAGAAATGTTATCTTGTCGATCATATACTACTAAATAGTGACATGTGAAATTGTTAAACAACTTTGTTACAAAATATTGGACACGAAACTTATATTTTGGTGAGAAATTTATCCCATGAAAAGCTGCGCTGAGTATTTTTACATGAATCTTTGTAATTGTAATAGAACGTCATTGTTATAATTGTTGCATTGTGACGAAGTATTATTGTACGTTGTATTATGTCAATCTTCCCTGGCTGCCACTCAACCAAACTGCAGTGAATTTTAGGGTGTGGCGGGGATAGGGGCGCCTTGCCTTCCGCACCTCGACCTAGAGGGGACGCTCAAAGGGTCATCCGTTGGGAACCATCGGGTCTCTGGGGACGCCCGATGCCGAGTGCGACTTGTGGATGATGCCCACAACTGGATACTTACTTTACTTGATTATGTATTTTTGCAAAACGTGATTTGTACTGACATTATGAGCAACTTCGCACCACCACAAAAATTTGCTGAGAATATGAATTGCACTTTTGGTATTTTAAAGCACACGTCTCCGGTTACGATGTTAGATATTACGTTGTAATGTTATAACATATTAAGATCTGTAACTGTAGGAAATTTGTCATGTAAACTGTAATGGTAATCATCTTGCTATGTAACTTGAACAGAATGTTAAAACCTGTCAAATTGGTTAGTTAATTCATGAATCGAAATTCGTAATATCTGTTGTTTTTGAAAAATTGGAATTTGATTTGTAACCAGTTTTACTGTTAAATGATGTAAAAATTTTTGTCGTGCTCTATGGGCCGGTTGGCCTGAATGAGTGCTGAAATAAAGCAATACAATACTAATAGCATTGCAGTGGTGACGTCGAGGGTCGCATGGTAAATAAACCGACTGTATGTATGTAAATGTATACGTAAATTAGGTATGTACATAGTTATAATTATGTACATAGTATGTACATAATTAGGTATATACTGTATGGATTTGTTGTGAAATAGCTTATAAGATTAATTTGCTAGTTACGACATTAAGATGGCGCTGAAACAATGCATTGTATCAAAATGTATTATCTAAAATATATATTATTTATGCATGACGCCACTTTCTTACATCTGTTCGTTTGAGACGGTTTATTTAAATGCATGCTCTTCGTCAGCTCATCAGCTGGACCTATTGATGAACGATAATATATGTAATCGATGCATATTATCGTAGATATACGTATGTACTACACACATGTTTACATGTGAATGTCCTAAAGTAACTATATTCAAGTCTATGGTTCTTTTGGCAACTCCCACGACGTGTGTGCTTAAGGTATGGGTTTAAAGTGCATCTTGTGTTAAGGAAAATTATTATTTATACATTTGGATACTAATCTACAAATGACATGTTTTAAAAGACGTTACATAACTTTTGCTCAGCCACAAAGTAAAGCAAAGTTGGCAGTTCATTCATGGACTGCCCGCGTGCTAGAAAATACTTGTCTGTTCAATGTTTGCTCTACAATTTTGATTGGGCAAACTAAATTCACCGTGTTTCTGCACTTTATACTTGTAATTTGATATTTATACAAGAAAAAACGATTAATAAATAAGTATGCGTGGAAGTTACTGTTGTAATTTATGCGGTGACATGGCTCCAACTAAACTCGCGATTGAAGCCCATCTTACCAAGCATTGGAGGAATGTGGGTGACCACAGGTGAGTAAAAAGGTTTTTAAGGAGGACTTTAGATGGAAAACTTTATTTATTCGATAATTGTATTTTTCATAGACCTAATGTACAGAAACAATGTGGAAAATCTGACCGCTCGAAGGTTCAAACTAAACATTCAAGGAAAGCCAAGGTCACTCGAAAAGATACAATTTGCCGAAAAAGTAAGGGTAGTAAGCCTAAAAAGAGTGGCGAGGCTAAGGCCGCAGAGAAGAAGAATGCCGTCGCCAATGACGAAACTGTTGAAACCCTCAAGCCGAAGACCGCTGAACGAACCACGCATGGAACGAGGGTCTTAAGCGAGGAAATTGGCGATAATCAAACGAATAATGAAGAGGACGACAAGGATAATCGGTATGATAGTTTCAATTTTAATAATAACGTTTCTCAATCTGGTTCTATTTTAATCATGTTACTTAATTGTAGACCGGACTCACCGGTTTATCTGTTTCCCAGTGCGAAGCGTGCAAAATCAGCATCGTCCAGCAAAGAGGAGCAAGTCAAAAAACCCCACATTTAAAACCGCAAGTGCCACTAATTCTTATACTTATTAAGATTCGAAATTTGAACAACAAATTGCTTTATAATTTAACATGTTTTGATTAACCAACAGAAATGCATCTTTCCAACCAGTGGGAGTACACGGGATACGGATATTTATCCCGTTCTTTCCAATGTGACCAATGTTGGACATCCTTCTACACGGCGAACGGTCTTGCCCTGCACGTCAGTATTACTCACACAGTAAACAATGAGGAAGTCCTCTTCGAAGAATCTCGACCATCACCAATACCTTTGACCAATGATATGGAAACAGAAGTAATAAATAGTACCAGTGACCACGTGACCAGAACCCCTAGCCCGGTGGAGAATAAGGCATCAATTCCTCGCATCCTGATTCACTGCTCCGCCTGCATTGAAGAGTTCGCTTTTTCTAACGAACTGACCAAGCACGAGGCCACGCACGGTATCGGATTTGCATGTCTCGGATGTGGGGGCTCTTTTAAATTCAAGACCAATTTGGACAAGCATTTTGAAAAGTAAGGGGAAAAAATTGCCTTCATGTATCAAAACTTTATTTACATATGCAAGTGACCTCTACATAATACATATGTATGCCTTATTTATTTAGGGCACACCCCGAGCTTTCAATGGGAAAGTGTGCATGGGTCAAATTTGACCATTGCGCTATTTGGAAGCCATCGTCACCCGAAATCAAGGAGCACATGCGCCAATCTCATCCAGAGACGGTACGTGTGAAAGAAGAGAAAAGTATTTGGCCTGTTTTCGATGTGGAATGATTTTCGTAGCCATGTAAAATGAGCTCGTTGGAGTCTTAGACCCCAATACGCAATTTATGGACGACCATTGAGTATGACGTGTAAAATTTGAAATATAAATGAACTCCTTTTCCAAAGAAAAATTATTAAATAAATAATTTCTTTATTGATATTATGAATCATAATTTAAACTAACTTTCACCAAGGTTTCATCTTTAACTTGTCTTCGTGCCAACTCTGAAAATAATTTATGCTTTGCTCTGTGCTCGCTGGCTTTTTTGGGAGGGACGAACACCTCGTCAGAAAATGGAAGATTATTTAAAGCAGCGTTTTGGAAGGCACGATTCTGAGGACTTTTTTTCGTGTCTTGTTTCACTGTTTTGTTCGTTTGAGGGGGTGTGGATTTCGAAATTGACGGTGATTTATTTGAATCTGTGTTCTTATTGTGATGAGACTTTGCTTGTTTTTCGTGTCCATTTTGACGCAAAATTTGATTTCTTGTCGTAAGCGCAGCCATGTTTTCCTTCGTACGCGAATTAAGTGCATTCAAGCGAGAAATTGTAAAAGTCCTTCCCATGGGAATGTGAAATGTTTCGGAGGAACGAAGGATATTCGAATCGTTAGCGGCGGAATCTTTCAAATTGATCTCAAAACCGGATTGAATTTTTGCGGTGGCGTTGATAACATTATTCAAATTATCTCCGACGTGACCTGGCTTCCAATCTTTACCAGTTACCGGAAAGCTGCTGTTATTAGCAAGATTCTTCACTGCGGAGAAGTTTGATTCAGAATTTGTCTGGTTTATATTTTCTTCCAGCAAACGAGTAGATTTTTGTAGGGCAAGATTTTGAGAAAAATTTTTAACTGAAGCATTGTTGTCAGTGAAATTTAAATTTAAACCTGAGTCTTGAAGTGTCTCGTTAGAGATTTTCGAAGCATCATTTATCCCCCAAGTGGTATTCACTGATTTAGCAGAGTTATTGTCATCTTTTTGTTCATCATATTGGTGGAAGGTACCTCCTGCCGAGTTAAGAATGGTTTCTGAGTAACCGGAAGTCGGTATATGGGGCTGATTCGTGCTTGTTATTTTGTTGAGTGACAATGGTTTACCCATCGTTCTTCCCCTTGGAATATGCGACTTTTTGATGAAGTTATTACGCATTTCTTCTCCCGAGTCTTGTAAAATAGTTGCGTTAAGTCGTTCACCCATTTTCGACATGTCATTCATTGATATTACAGAGTTATTGGCATCGTTTTTTCGATCAGGTTGCTGGAAAGTATCCTTTTTGGAGGAAAAAATTGTTTCTGAGTGACCGGAAGTTGGTTCAGGGTGCAGATTTTTAGCAGTTATTTTGTTTAGTGACAACGGTTTACTCATTGTCCTTCCTCTTGAAATATGTAACTTTCCTGTGAAATTGTTAGACATCTCTTGTGACAGAGTTTCGTTAATTTGTTCCTCCGTTTTCGAGAGAATACTCATGTCATCATTTACGGAGGCCGCCCCCCTTGTCGAATTAGCGGCATCAGTATCTTTTGTCGAGTTAAAAACGGTTCCTGAGGCCGGTATAGGGGGGTGATTCGCGTCAGTTATTTTGTTTAGCGACAACGGTTTACTCATTGTCCTTCCTCTTGAAATATGCGACTTTTTGTAGGCATCGTCACGCATTTCTTCTCCCGAATCCTGTGAAATATTTTGTTTAAATTGTTCCCCCACCTTCGGAATGTGGTTCATTGATTTATCCGAGTCATTGGCATCTTTTTGTCTATCGGTATGCTGGAAGGAATCGTTTTTGAAGGAAAGAATGGTTTCTGAATAACCGGAAGTCGGTATAGGGTGCTGATTTAGTGACAACGGTTTACCCATAGTTCTTCCCCTTGGGTGTGACTTTATTGCGAAGTTATTATGCAGATCTTCCCTCGAGTCTTGTGAAATAGTTTGGTTATTTTGTTCACCCATTTTTGATATATAATTCCTTGCTTTAGCAGAGTCATTGGCATATTTTTGTTGGAATGTATCTTTTGTTTGGCTAAAAATGGTCTCTGAGTAACTGGAAATCGGTATCGGTAGCTGATTGGTGTTAGTTATTTTGTTTAGTGACAACGGTCTACCCATTGTCCTTCCCTTTGAAATGTGCGACTTTTTGGTGAAATTATTACGCATTTCTTCTCCCGAGTCTGGTGAAAGAGTATTTGCATCTTTTTGTCCATCAGTTTGCTGGAAGGTGTCGTTTTTGGATGAAAAAATGGTTTCTGAATAACCGGAAGTCGGGATAGTGGGCTGATTCGTGCCAGTTATTTTATTTAGTGATAACGGCTTGCCCATTGTTCTTCCCCTTGGAATATGCGACTTTGTGGTAACACTATCATGCATTTCTTCCCTGGAGTCAGATCCGTTTTGTGAAATAGTTTCGCTGATTTGTTTCGTCTGATTAGATTTTAAATCGATGTCTTCCTTTTCACCCCCATTTTTCGAATTAGCGACATCATCTTTCCAACCCTTGCCATGTGTGGGATTCGACATATTAGCATCGTTTTTATTGTAGCTTCCTGAACTTTCTGTGAGGTTTGATATCGAAGTGGTTTCCTTGCCTGTTATGTTCAGACCTTCAGCGTAGGAATTATTCGTGTTAACCAAGAAATTGTCGAACTTGTCGGCCAAATATTTTCCAACAAGGGACTCATTTCTTCCAAAATATGTGCTGGTCCGATTACCTGGGATTGACAGATTTATTTCATTTTCATTATTACTGACATCCTTGTTCGTAGCGTTTCTATCCGATGTCACATTCCTGATGTGATCCCCCAGCCTAAAGTTAGGCATACTGCTTTCTTCTGGTCCATTTGTCATATTTGTTGGATTTTCGTTCCCAAATCTTGATTTATAGTAGTCGTCTCGCATACTTAATGAAATTGATTCGTTCGGGGAATTAGTGGAATTTTCAGGTAAGGAAGGCTTCCTGGGTCTCATCATGCCTCTTCCTTTGGCCCGATTTTTCCCAAGATTCACGTCGGAGTCATGGCTGGTTAACAAGGTCGCGGTGGTTATATCCGCACTGTTTCTCGTCGAGTTTTCTGCAGCGGTAAAATGGTTTGAATTTTTCTTGCTGGTGGGATAGTCAATGCTGAACGGTAACTTATCAGTCGGTATTACACTATTATTTGGCCATTGCTCCTCAATATTCGACGAATTTGAGTTTGCAAAATTTCCGGCCGCAAGGTTAGATGAGGTCTGCACTTCTGTGGATCCAGATTCATTAGCGGGACCGCTTTCAGTAACGTTGGCCCCCACGAAGGTTGATCCGCCAGTAAAAATATTAATGCTTGACGTAGATTTGGTCGAGTCGAGTGTATCATTTAATTGATGCACTGTTCCGTTTTTACCATGAGGAAATACCGATGATATTTTATCCCCAGTAAAATTGGTTCCACGAATAGTTGAGTTTTGATGATTTTGAGTTTCCGAGCTGCCATTTGACCCCTTTATTTTAGCAGTTTCTGTGAGACTGTCTGGCATAGTGGAATTAATGTGCGTATCTGTTTCTAACAAGCCTGCCCCGTTTTTGCGGCTGCTATCTCCAAAGAGCGTGTCGATAAAGGTAAGAAATGTGGCGTTTTTGATATTCTCTTTGGTTGAATAATTTCCAGATGCGTCGATTTTGGCTGATTTTCCTGTATTTATAGTATCGTAACCATTAGTGGTCACATTTCCGGTGTCATTAAAACTTTTCATTTGTAATTCTGTCCCATTATTTCGTAGCCCATTTTCATCTCTCAATTCGGTACCGGTCGTTCCGATTTTCGGTTTTCTAATAAACATTGATCGCCCCATCGGTTTCTTGGTCGCTTTCTCCTCCTCCGTAGTCTTATTTTCTTTCCGTCTACCAAAGCCTCTACCAAAGCCCAAAGCCTTGGCGGCACCACCGCCGATTGTGGCATTAAAAGTTTCGACTTTCTCTACGTTCAATTCGGTTCCATTATTTTTTCCATTTTCATCTTTTACGTCGGTAATGTTGGATTCGACTTTCGGTTTTCTAATAAACATTGATCGGCCCGTCGGTTTATTGGCATCTTTTGTAACAAATGTGGCGTTATTGACATCCATATTATCAGTGTTAATTTTTGTTAGAACTGCATTTATTTCATCGTAACCATCAATGGTCACATTTCCAGTGTCATTGAAAAAAGCTTTGACTTTCGTTTCGTCAAATTCTGTGGCATTATTGTTGCCATTTTCATCTTTTACGTTGGTAATGTTGGATCCGAATTTCGGTTTTCTAACAAACATTGACCGCCCCATCGGTTTGGTATTTTTCTCAAAGGTAGAGTTTTTTATATCCTCTTTAGTTGGTGAATTTTCATCTTTTCCATAAATGTCGATTTTGGCAATAAAATCCAGAATTGCACTATAACCATCAGTCACATTTCCGGTATCATTAATAAAAGCTTTCACTTTCCTTCCGTCCAACTCTGTCGCATTATTTTTCCCATTTTCATCTGTAATGTTCGTTCCGATTTTCGATTTTTTAACAAACATTGATCGTCCCATCGGTTTCTTGTTATCTTTGGTAATAAATGTGGCGTTGTTGACATCCTCATTGGGTGATGAATTTCCATCAGTGTCGATTTTTGTTACAAAATTGAGAACTGCATTTATTACATCGTAACTATCATTGGTCACATTTCTGGTGTCATTAAAAAAAGCTTTCGGTTTCTTTGCGTCCAATCCTGCCCCATTATTTTTCTCACTTTCATCAGTAATGTTGTTCGTTCCGATTTTCGGTTTTCTAACAAACATTGATCTTCCCATCGGTTTCTTGGTCGCTTTCTCCTCCTCCATAGTCTTATTTTCTTTCCGTCTGCCAAACCCTCTTCCTTGAACAGCACCCCCTCCGCCTGTCCCATCCAGACAAAACTGATCCTTCGATTCCTCCTCGACTTTCGATTCTCCCTTCTCACAAATAAAATACATTTTGACATCGCACTCGATATCGTCGAAGGAATGCGTTTCCCTCCGTCCAGTTCGTGCTCCTAGTTTGACTTGGTCCAAATGATAGATCGGATTCCAGAAGCCGACACAATGTTCCGGCCTTTTGGAGTTGAAATGGTCGGGCTGATTAGTGCACCAAGGGTACGACTTGGAATCGTGCATGTCCTCAGTTTCGCCCAATTTTTTCACCCATTTCCACTCAGCTTCACTTCCAAGATCCGTCAGACCGAACCAATATCTTCGATCGAGGCCGAATTCGTGCTTTTGTGACCCATTGTCATACGCGAGACTGAAGTGAGATACGGTGTAGATGAGATCGCGTACTTTCTCGGCGTCTTTTGGGGTTGGAAATGTTGCAAAGTTTCCGAAGCATTTTGAACAGAAGGTTAAAGAATCGTTCCAGGTCATCTTGGGTAAAAAAAATAAGTCATTTAATGGATAGGTTGAGAATACGATTTTTAGGAAAAAGTGGTGGTTCATTCGGTTCGGATGTTTGTAAACTGTGTTGTAAACTTGCAAATTCTTCTGATCAGATTACCAGGGAAAACTAGTGTGCGAAATTACTGAAAACTGATTTTAGCTAGGTCATTTTTGACAATTTGAAAAATATTTTTATCTAATTTATACAGTTTTACAGTTTACAAACCTCCGCGTAAATATCAATTCAAATGTATTCAATTGATTGATTACCCTTTTCCTATAAATTCTGTATTTAGTGTCCAAATCGAGAAATGTAATTGTTTTGCTGGTATCGTCTACAATTAAATATAATTATTTAAAACTTTTGTATACCATTGAAAAACTAACTATTCCAATTAATACGCCTGGTTATTTTTCTCACCAAATAATCCAGTCTTCGCAATTAGTAGTTCCACCTCGACGGGACTTAAAATAAGTAAGACTTGTAGGAAATGTGCCTGCATCAAAAGCATGGAGGACACATTGATGGGATACATTTTTCAAAAGTAGACAAGTAAATAGTTTCACTTGAGGATATTTACATATGGAAGTTTAAATTAATACAATGCATTCAGGTCAAGTTTACAGTTAGATTTAAATAACTTTCTCTCGAATTAATGTCCATAGCATTACAAATCCTACCGTCGTGCATATGTATGTACGAAGGAAATGGCCCCATCAAATTCAGAGTGGAATCTGACACACAACGCAATAAATATGCATAACTCAGTAATTATGTTGAGGGTATTCTGGTATTCACGTCACGCCAATTTCCTACAGGCATATATTATCTTTGTAATCTATTTTTTCGCAAACTCGTCACTCGTCGTCAAATGAATTTTCACTTCTCCTTTCATGTTCACTTTTAAGTAAAATGAAAATGCATGCATACATACTATGTATTTAAAATAATAGATCAGATTTTACTTGCCTGTGCTTTAAGATTAGTTAGCTACTATATTCTAGAGGGCTGCTGGGGAAACTAATGGGCTGCATATTAAGTATTTACACCAGCTACCAAATGATAATGATGTTCCAGTGACAAATTTAAAAATTATGAAAATCCCATTATTACGATATTTTAAGTAAATATGTACGAGTAGATCGTCAAATTTTATGAATGTGAAGTATGTATATATCGTCAACGACGTCCGTTAAATAATGGATAAATACATATTTCACAATAGTCTACACCTAAAGCGACCAGAAATTTTGCAATGATTTTGCAATGTTTTATAAAATAAAGTATTAAGTATGTTCAATCATTCATTGTGGTTAATCTATAATGTGATACTTGTATAAATAATTTTGCAAATCTAAAATTACCATGAATATTTTTTAAACTAACAATTTAATTTAATTCCCAAGTAGAAAAAGGCATATACATGTCAAAAAGGCATAAGTTTAAAATCCGAGGATTCTTATAAATTCTAAATATCAACTACAATTTTCACAATTAAGTCACAGAGATGCAAAAAAGTAGCAAAATTAATAACTAATGAAAAACTAGCAAAAAAATTATTGACAGTTTGAAATCTGAAAATCATATAAATAATTATAAAAAAAATCATGTTTATCTAGTCGACTACGACTACATCTATATCGAAAAACAATCGGTCCATCCATTTCCGTTAATTTAATTAGAAGAAACTTGCTCAGCCGGATTCTCAGATGATTTTCGAACCATATTTATCCACGGGTTGTGAACATTCGGGAACATTCTTGCAATTTCGCGCCCTCTGGCAAAAAGCTGACCTGATTTCAAAGTTGGTTCAGTCGGAAGGTCGAGATGTCGCAAAGTTTTGCAAACTTGAAGTCCTGCACCGCCATTTCCAAGGGGTAGAAATGTATCGAAAAGAAAATCATTCACGATGGCATTCCTTCTCCACCCAATATCATTGTCCCCCAACTTCAAGGTTTCCAGGGTAGGAAAATGCTTGGCGTACGAGATGCTATTTGCTCCATCGAAGGACACCTGAAGTGGAAATGTTTCATCTTTGGCGCCCCAAGAATCCTTGCCCACGTGGAGTACTCTGAGAGAAGGAAAGCTTGGCAGGTTGAGAATCGTATCGCTGTTTGCACAATTTCCAAGCGTCATTTTTAGTGAGGTCAAAGTCTGGGAATGTTTGGAAAGGAGTCGTCCAAATCCGAGGTATTGTGCATTAGTCCAATGTTCAAATCTCCCAAGATTCATTTTTGTTAAGGGTTTCTTCAATTTGTTCAGAAAATTGAGCCCCTCTGGAGTAAGGTTTTGCTGAATGGTAATCTCTTCCAAGTTCTGGAATGGTTTGGCTTGGCCATAAAATGTTTCCAAAAGGGCGGGGAAAGTGCAGTTCAAAATGAGCACGCGTACTTCTTTGACAGCGCAAAGCAGTGGGTTCAACCATGAGGCCAGGGAAGAGCAGTCCTCACTGGGGCTACCGTCGCCTTCGACGTCATAACTCCCAACATCCATCGAGAGGACGAATGTGTTCAAGTTGGTGAATTTAATACGGGACGGAAATGTATACCCTTGCCCAGATGCTTCGACCGTACTCCATATCCAGCCCAACTCGAAATATTGAATAGTTTCGGTTGGGCACATTTCCAAAATTTCGATTTCTGTATCAAAGTCGGATTTTGATGAAATCTTTCCCGCAAAATCTAACGATGTGACGTTGTGCGTTTTCAATCCGAGAAACCAATGGAGATCTGCGATGACTTTTACTCCTTGAGCTGGGCGAATCTCGTGCTGATAAGAGTCCAAGCCGATCGAAGGGATGGCAATTCGCCAGTGGGGGATTGGATTATCCTGCATTTCGTGATTGTAGCGGAAAATTTTTGTGGGATCGTCCAATTTCTTGTAACCGAGGCAAAAATTGAAGCTCACATAACCTCTCTTCTTGATCAGACGGAGAGCTTCTTGATTCCAAACTTTTGAGAGGAAACGTACATTTTTCACATCGTCGAATGGAAGGTATGACATAATGTGGGACACCACCTGGACGATGACAAATTACAAAATTGTCAAATTACAAAATTGTCAAATAAATTGCCTAAGCAGTTAACTATAAATATATGTATTTACCAATTGTGGAATAAAGCGTGCTTCTTGCGTCTCCTCGATATGTTCCAAATTCAGGTCATTATCGCCTTCGTTCTTGATCATTTTCTTCTTTTTCTCTTCGAGCTTCCTCTTCCAATACAAATCAAAGTCATATACTCTCCTCTACAAAAAATTGAAATAGTGCACAAGTTACAACCTCATTATAAAAATTAGTATTGACTAGTAAAGTAATAATAATATACCTGGAACAACAAAACCAGACGATGAGTACTATCAAAAGCATCCCATTCAAATTTAGCCCAGCCAAGCAGGCCATCCTCGTTTTCAGTTGGAAGAGAAGGAAGATAGTTATCGTGGGTGCGTTTCCAATTTTCCAGTTCCTCTGGAGTCGCTGGAACCCCCAAGGATAAATAGTCGCCAAATTTGAGCTCTGTTCTGTCCTGAATTTCTACATCATTCACGGCAACGACCTCCCCCTGAGAAAGTCGAAAACAAATAATCATGTAAATAATTTCCGCAAAAAAACCTTTAGAACTTTACTCTATCTTATTTTCTCTTTTTCTTACCCCGGATAACAAAGGTGTAACCCAGTACTTATTTTCAGCGCAGGTGATCTCACAAACTGGCAAGCTACCGTCAGTCGTAATATTCAGTTCATCCCTTTTGGGACGTTTCCAGAAAATGAACTCCCCTTGTTCTTTCCGACTGGTGAAAGTCTCTCCAATTGTAAACTGTAAATAATACACAAAATAAGTACAAATAAGTAAAACGCCAATTCAAAATGATATTATTTGACAAACTTTAGATTTCAGATCAAGTTAAATACGTTTTAATTATATTACATACCTTTTGACCTTCAATACTTGGCAGAATTGCGAATGGTTTCCACAACTTCTCTCCAACTTGTCGAATAAAACTTGGCTCGTTTTCCGGCGATCTGCTAAACATGCAGCAACGACGACAGAAACAGTGCGACGCACCTTTGAAGGTTCTGCAGAGCAGTTCCCCATCGAAATTGGCCATGGTCGAGTAATTAATTAATTGTAATTAATGTTTCGTTGAAAGAAAAACTCGCCCAAAGACGATGACGAAAGCTGACAACGTTTTGCCCGTTGGCTTTCAGTTCATGTTCCCGGCTGAGGAAAAATGAGCTCCAAATTGTGTCTCATATTTTGTAACAGCATTTTACTTTAGCATTGTCTCATTTTTTCGATTAGGGGAGATCCATAAATTATGTCACGCAAAAAAGCCCTTTTTTAAGACCCCCCCTCCCCTGTTGTCACGCCTTTGTCACGCTCGTTGTGACCCCTCCCCCCCCCCTCTTGTCACGTCACGCCTGAAAATCTGAATTTTTCCGAGAGGAAGAATTTCAAATAAGTTGTAAAAAACCACTAAATTTTTCAGTTGTCTTGTGTTATTGCTACACATTTTTTAATTGTTAACATTTTTGAATCATGCAGTTGTCTCCAATCCCTACACAGTTTTGAAACTATGAAAAGTAAGGTTCTTTCGGACGAATTTTTAAATTGTGCAAACTTTTGGAGATTTAGTAATGTTTTTTTAAATTGTTGCATGCATTCTTGCAAAATTATGACGATTTTTTGAACTTATGCAAACTTTATGGCATAATGAATTTTTAATTTTTTTAAACTTACAAACAATTGGGTATTTTGAAAATTATTTGAAGGTTTAAACAAAATTTAGAAACTCGGCTGAAAATCTCAAAATCTAAAACTTGGTTCAAATTTTGGATTTTTTGGATCAAAGGTTTCATATATTGGGATGGACATATATAAATAATTGCGAAACTAGTTTGGTCCTAGTCGAAGACTTAAAATGAGTTAAAGTTTGCATTAAGTCAGACCCGGGAAACGTGATGTCACGGACCGGCCGAACCCCCCCTCCCCGTATGTCACACTTTGTCACGGAGGCTTGGAACCCCTCCCCCCATCTTCAGCGTGACATAATTTATGGACCACCCCTTACTGATATTAATTTGGTAATCAGATTGGTATTGCAATTTGCAAAGTAAAAATCTCTGTGGGACGGAAATTTTCCGCTCTGCCTGTTCTGTTATCTGAACTCAAAGCATGCTGAAAGAGCCCAAAGTTTGTATTTATTTATCCGTCCCACAGAGATTTTTACTGTGCAATAGTAGTACCATTGTTTCTGAAGGGTAAATTTTTCATTACCACAGCATTACTAAACGGTAATGACCGTTATGACATGTACATATATATGTATGGTAAGGGTGGGATATTTGGTATAGTATTACGACCGAGCACATCGATAAGTGACCCGTGGGCGTATATTTGTATACACCTACAACTTATATGTCTTTTGTCCTGTCATTTTGCGCCAACACATTTCATAAATTTATAGAATAATAATAAACATTAGAATTTGATGGCGAATCCCCACCAGGATAATAATACTGTCGCACTCTGTTTTGTGGGATGATCATGCGTGTCAATCTATTGTAAGAGTTGGGAGAAAGTTCTTCTTTCTCCCATCTCGCAAGTATAAAACGAATGACGAGAGTCATTTCTGGGTGTCAGTCCGTGGTCTCTTTCTCCTAATAAACATCTCTCTTCCTACCAGTCACCAATATCTTGTTTCAACTCCCCCAATTATTTACACCACTTTCTCCTCGAGATAGGAGCTCAACACAGCATCTCTCATAATACTTCACTCCACTTTCACCTTGCCCTCGCCTTAGCCACTCACAAAAGCCGCCCGTGACATTTGGTGTCAGCGGCGAGATAAGTTCTTGCGACGTGAAATTTTAGTCAAATTCTGCAGTAATAGAGTTAAATTCGCGAGAAAAACGGACTTAAAGTGACAAATTTTCACCACATAATGACGGATGCCTGCATTGTTTTATTCAATTTTATTTCGCCCCTACTTTCGGTCTTATCCTTTTCCAAGATTTTACAATGCACTTGTGCATTGCTTCAAAATAAAATGTCCCTGGGCATTTCCAGATAAATTGAGGCACTTGTGCCTTATCGCGAAAACTAAGGCCCCCGGGCTTTACTTCGAAAAATTTTCAGGATATTCCTTTCTTCAAAATCCCATTTTCGTCCCACATTCCCCAGGAGAATTTCATTACTTCGCCCCATCTCCAATTGAAGAAAATTTTGCACCTGTGCAAAAACTACACTACTGACCCGAAGAAACTAGGAAGAATTAACTGGCTCCTGCTTTCATCGCCCTCCAACTATTTTACTTTTGCCAACAAATAATTCCTCTCCCTTTCATACAAGTTGGCGAGAAGAATCTATCATTGCCCGGATAACATTTTTGTACCTGTACAAAACTTCGCGACGTCCACGACGAACTCACCGCTACTAGGAAGAATTTAACAAATCGTAATTTCATCTTTCCACGACCATTTTACCTCTACAAGTCACCCACTTTCTTCACAAAAATTTGAGATAGGAGAATCTATCGTCGCCCCGACTTATAAATCTGTACATGTACAGATCTACGGTCCTCTCTACAACTTTTACTACGTAATTCTACACATCGCTTCGATAAAATTGCAAAAATTCCATCTCCTCCTAAATCTACAAAAAAATGCGAAATTCTTCACTTCTCAAATTTTGCACGTTTGCAAAATTCCGCCTCAAAATTTTGCAATGACGTCTAACATAACCCCAGTCTCAATTCAACCCGAGTCAAGATTTTACACGACTAAGAAGAATTCCAGTTTATGTCTCATCTGACCCTCACTTAACAACTATACTGACGTTGAAGGAGAAAGATAGAAACTAGCATCAACTACTATTCCTCTACAGTGAAGAGGACAACGACAACTTTCACTCCGGCCGATTGAAAGTGCAGTCGCGAAAGGAACCACGGATTGACCCCCACCATAATTAGTTTATGGTTGGTTTCTGTTTAAATACATTTTACATTTTATTTACATACACACACTGCAGTAACTTCGCAAGCAGCACAAATTCAAAGAATAAACAGAAAAAATAAAAGTATAACAAAATACGGAATAACTGAAAGAATAAAAGGAAACATTAAAAGTATAAACAGAAAGAAATAATAAAAGCATGAGAAATTAACTAATTGAATATTGAAATTCCTCACTGAGTATAAAATGTTTAACTCTAAAGTGAGATGATACAAATGATTTCGCCCTGGCCAGGCTGTATTTAAATTCCACACGAGAGCGTAAAATAACGTTTGGCTCGATGACAAGTGATGACTTATTCTGCAACGAAGCGATGATTTATTCCGCAAAAATAGCGATGATTTATTCCGCATAAAGCGATGATTAATTCCGCAAAAAGCGATGATTGAAATAATTCCGCAAAAAGCGATGATTGAAATAATTCCGCAAAAAGCGATGATTAAAATATTCCGCAGGGATTGCGATGAAATTAATTGAATATTTATAAAAAAAAATTTGCGTAAACAAAGCGCAGATTTGAAAAATGACGTCCTGATATTTCAATTTAAATGGCCACTACATAGTACTACAATTATATACTAACTGAAAAATAATTATAAAAAAGCGATACATAATTCCCATGAGATAGAAATAAAATCAAATTAAAACATAGCTAAAATACTCAAACTACAATACATAGCATAAGAGAAACATGTTACCAAGAGTGGCGGATTGTTTCAAAAAAAGGCGGCATGGCGAATATTTGTCAGCAGCACTGTCCTTCAATTCGATTTTTGCATCTGACTCACTGACTTACAAACCATAAGAGAAAAGCAATCTATTTTATTCGTCATTCTGTCGCAACACAAAAGTACTTTTACCCGGAACCTAATCCCCTTCAACAACAAAGATTCACATCTCACAACCATGAGGAACCTACTTACTTACGCACTTTCACTTTCTCCCTATTTTCTCCCCTAGACACAGTCGTCAAAATTGACCCAACTCAACTTTTATCTCTGCTACTTTGATTTCGTCTGGTTTTTGTGGTGCAATAATTTCAAAGATTTGAGTGAAACAAGACAAAAACAAGCTATTCTATTCGTCATTCTCTGTCGGAACAAATTTAGCCAAATGGAGAGAATCCCATTCCTCAACATCAATTGATCCACATTTCCCAGCCACGAACAATAAATTTAATTCTACTTTACTTGGGCAACTTACACTCTTATTTTATCTTATACATGTCATCTTCGTCAATTTTTATGATACCGAATTGTCCTGCTTTAACTTCCTCAATTTCGCTTTGGAAATCTTATTTAATCTCATTGTCAAGTATTTGGTCCAAACAGAACAACAGAAACATAAAAATTCATCATCGTTTACTACATCTTACTTTCTCCATCACATTCATAAGTTCCTTCTCTTAGAAAAACAAAACTATAAAATTTGACTACTATTTCTATTCGTTTATTTAGTAACGTAACTTAGCAAAATTAAGTTGCGCAGCACATCAGAATTCTCTTCATTATTCAAGTCTTTAGATGTTACAATAAAATTAAATAACAAGCACACATCGTTTTACTTGAGCTCCTACTTAAGCTACACACAAAAAATAACCCATAACCCATTTAAAGTTGAAAAAGGAAGTTAATTTAGCAGAGATGATTCACTTATTTATCAGACCAACTTAACACTTATTCCTTCCGCTGTACTTCTATTTTACGACGTTCAATGATCAGATGTCTGTTTCTCCCAAGAATTTATTCACAGATATCAGAATAAGTCAACATCTCCAAAGTCACGACCAATTACATCCCTGGTACAACAACAATCGTATTAAAAAAAAGAATAACTACAAATTCTCTTCATCAATGTCTTGTTGGTAGGGGTTTAGTAAGGAAATAAAAAATTCGCAAACTAAGAAAAAAATGAATAAATCTACCTCCTCGCTCAATTAAATTCTATGCAAAATAAGCTATAACTTTCCACCTTACTTATAATACCTTGCATTTCCACCTTATCTAACTATGAAATAGATATGTAAATCGACTCATCTCTTAATTATAACGCTATTTGATAAGTCATTCCCCAATCCAATAAATTCAGACCAAATTATGTAATACATGACGGAGAATGTTACTTTCACTTTATTACGTATAAGTGAACAGAACTAAAGAAAAAGTATAAATATAAATA